AGTACAGGTATTGAAACACCATATATGCTCAGAATAACGTTCCACCTGGCACGAGAACACTCGTGCATGCATACGAAGCAACGTCCACCTGCGTATCAATAAAGCACCCCAACATTACGCGTATCGTTTCCATTAACGACAAATCACGCGGTTCACTGAGCAAGCCCGCCGGCCCCTTGCGACGCTAATTTGTTAACGAAATTGTGTGAAAAACAACCCGCTACCGCCCTATCCGTTCGACCGTGGAAATGCATCTGCCCCCGAACTTTCTTTTAAGTTTGATAGTAAATTAACACCTTATATTATATTGTTCTTTTTTTATATATATTTTAGGACACATTTTTTACACAACGTTCTCTAATCCCAAACTAAGCAACGCTTGTACTGTGGGTACTAGATAAATGACATACATTACTAAAGATTACTAGATACTTAAACATACTTGTCTTTTGTTAAAAAATACATATATAAACACCCAGACGCTAGAAAAACACTATGTTCATCACACAATATTTTTTCCAGTAGTGGGGATCGAATCGACACCCTCTGGCGAAGGAGTACAAGTACCGACTACGCCATTCGGGCCGTCGTCAGTGGTTCTATTCTCAACAACAACAAAGTAACATTCTGTGTTCCACTGTTAGAAGGTATTAGAGCATAATCCACCACGCGATCCCACTTCGATCTTGATTACTGCATCCATTATTATTTGGGTAACCAGCTTTTCACCTGTGGCTCCGCCCGCATGCTCTAAATATTATGTCGTGCTTAAAAGTATGCCTATAGCCTTCTTCAATAAATATCGAACAGGGGCAGAATGTTTTCAAATCGGACCATTAGACCTTGAGAGCAAGATCAAACTAATAAATTCTTCAGTGGTTCTTTAAGTTGATATAAACTTTTTAATTATGAACCGATTTAAATAAACCTAACATTAAATGTTAAGTGAGACTTACTACAATGCAAAGTTGCATCCAAATCGGTACGCCGTTTCTAAGATTAGCGCACTCAAACGCACAGACAAACAGATAAACAGACAAGTTTTATCATTGGGTTTCTTAAATATCTTCCTTGTACAGACAACGATCTGTAATTTAACGACATTTTATTATATGTGTGGAAGATATACATGTACAGATTTTTCCTTACGATGTTTTCCTTCACCATTAAGAAAGTGATACAGCGGCAATCAAAATTGCAACCGACAATTTCTTACGACATTTTAAGATTAAAACCCAGGTTGCTCGAGTATATTGAATTGAAAGCGATCGAACGAATACAGATCTATCGTAGCTTAAGGCGTCTTAAATAATTGCGAATTCCATGTATCTTTATCCCACTGAGATATATACAGCGTGTCGTTACCATCGCGACAATAAATGAACACACGTCTAACGCTACTTGCCAATAATCATAAAAAAATATTAACGTTAAACAAAATCCATAATTAAAAAAAAAATATTTTTCAAACAAAATAATTAAGTAAAAAAGAAACAAAATTTGTAACATCCTATACAACTCGCGCCACAGCGTCGCATTACAAGCCTCTCCTTCTAACAGTATTTTTTGTCTCTTTTAAATTCATTCAACCCATTCATATGCTTTACAAATGAACTTTACTTTACGCTTTTATACGTAAGGGTGTTCCAAAATTCTTTGTTTTGGAAAATTGAATAACTCTGTAAATATTGATGTTTAAAGAATTTAAATATTTAATACAACTTCAAAAAGTTATCCCCTATATGTGTATTCATTTATTGTCGCGATGGTAACGACACGCTGTATATGGAATAAGGACATAGTTCTCTTCGTTGAATTTACGAATTTACGCAGATTAACAGTCTTCGCACATCTTCTAGGTGTTTATTACTAATATTGTTCAGTTTTCCACGTAATAAACAACCCTCTACCACCATGTCCGTTCGACCGAGGAAATGCATCTGCGCCCGAACTTTCTTTTAAGTTTGATAGTAAATTAACAGCTTATATTACATTGTTTTTTTTTTATATTTTAGGACACATCTTTACATAACGTTCTCTAGTCCCGAATTAAGCAACGCTTGTACTATGTGTACTAGATAACTGATAGACATACTCAAACATATTACTTTAATTCAATATACTGGAGCAACCTGAGTTCGATCCCCGTGCCGGCACCAATAAAAATGTTAATTATCCACTAAGCTAAACGGCTGATTGCCACAACGACGGAAATCTCAACGCCTCAAGATGTAGTGACTATTTACAAAAGGAAGACTCACTAGAAACTAAAAGCCGAGTAACGGGCAAACCGGCGTATCTCACTACTAAATGATTATTTTTCAGTAATCAAGAATGGCCATTGATTGGTTTATATGGTGGTAATAGCGTAGAAAGATCCCAAGGGTGTCACGAGTGCGTTACCAGCTTAAAACGTGGAACTGATGCCTCATTCTCTAGCAAAACGTAAAAAAGTAAAGTCATATCTTCCTACTTACGGCTGATCATAATATGCAGCACCAAAAACACTGTACATGTCAGTTCTGACGATGATCAACAGAAAATTAATCAATACCAGGAGGTATTTCCGCTCAGTAATTCGATTTAACTCTACATAGCCAGTGACAAATCGAGTCTGTTGCGATATAGATACCAAATAGTCCGTTTTGATGCGAAATCCACGGATTTACGAGTGTGTAGGATACCAGTCGCTCACCCATGCGCCCTTTCACTCGGGCATGTGCTCTAAAACAATCGTGATGCAGCTTGAACAGTTTGAATCGTGCCCATTATGCGAACTGTGCGAGCGCCGTGCGCTGTTTACGCTTACGAAATCCTGTCGAATCAAATGAACAGCTTTTCCGTACCGTCAGCGTATTGAACCGGAATATTACATAATATTCCTTTTAACTCAGCGTATTTCAAATAATAAAGGTTCTGTTAATTATATATTAGTTAGGTCTTATGTAGTTAAGTTAGTAACATAAAGTAACAGCCCTAACAAATCCCACTGCCCAGCAGTGCCCAGAGACAAGGACCTCCTCTGTACAGAGGCGATTGGATTGGATTGAGGATTGCCAGACTTCATGACATATCTTCGAAATATATTTTTTTTGTTATTATTTCGAAAATATGCAGGTTTCCTCACATTATTTTTTTTCACCGTTGGACACGATAATTTAGCATTTAAAAATGATAAATTTATTGGTGCTGGCACCGGGATATGAAGTCGGTCGCTCGAGTATATTGAATTAAATACTAGCGCCCGGACACTGACCAGTCACGGTCTTATTTAGTTCTGTTTATTTAGGTTGTTTAGTTATTATGTCTATTATATATTCGGCTCGCCCCAAATCTCTCTGTACCAATGCTTTGTTTCGTTAGGTAAAGGGGATTTGCAACAGTAAAACGTATTCTTCCTTATGTCACAAATGTACGCTGCTGTCATATTTCAACTATATCAATGCATAATAAATTGATTACTAAACATGTTAAAAGCACACAGAAAAATTAGGTTCGATACAGAAAGTGTTCTTGAAAAACAGAAGTCAAGAACCACATTATACGTAGGATCACAGTGAACATTTGCGAATTAAGAAACATGAATCTGATAATCAAAAATAAATAAATTACATGTTGCATGAATACTACGATTTCTTTGTTACCCACTTAAAAAATTCTATTACGCGTCACAAACAAAACACGTGTCGCTTGTTTGTTTTTCCATACAGATGTTGGTTTACACATTTATGGTATTACGTGAACACGTGTTCAATTATTTTAATCACTTGGATAGTGTTAGTTTTATGTTAATAATTTAACTAGCTCATAATAACCATGCGTCGCAAATACATATCGTAATACAGATATATAATTTATTAATATATATTTTTATTTTATGATACTACTGTTGTTATTATCTCTTTTTCTGGCTTACCTGGTAGAAATCTGTTTTTAGCGATAAGGCCACCATTCTAGTGATTTCTGTTCTTTGTTGTTGATTATTCAATGTCAGTTTTAGTTCACAATAAAGTGTATTTCATTCATTCATTCAGACATTAGGAAATTACAGAAATGAAAATATATTGTTATTGTATGCGTGAATATGGAAAGTTATGGCGTTAAGGAATATCTACTCCTAAAACGTTAAATGCAATGCCGTAAGATCGTTCTCAGTTGCAATTCACGTAATAAATTGGTCCCCCCATTTTCTAGTATACTCCACAGCAGTGATACGGTCCGATGCGCAAACGCTATTATAGCTGTATGAAAACGAATTTTTCACATGTGCAATTTGCCAAGTAGCCAGTGTCGCCAGTCTTTAATTGACCGTCAGTGCGATATACAAATTGTGAGTATATCTTGTATTAAATGAACAATATTGTATCGCGCACGTATATACCATATTTTGTGTACTCAGTTCTTTGCTGTTTAAACAAGTCCCGTTTGCTTCATTATCAAAACGTCAACTTTGAAGGACTTGCTCGATTGAGACTGGATGTTTTAATGTTATAGTACCTGGAGGACCGAGCTTTGCTCGGTTTGTTTTTTTTTTTTGGTAAATCGTGAATTTTGGAAATTACATTTAGATACAACTTACAGAGTAATGAAACATGCATAATATTTTTCGATCTTACCGACGTAATAAGAAAATATGAACTGGTATTTTTCACAAAAGAAAGAACTTTAAAAAAAGGGAAAAAAATAACAAAATAACAAATCGACAAAAAATAAAAAATAAAGAAAGCAATGATCTGGAATCGAAAAAAAAAAGTAAAAAAATAAGTGTGTAAATGATCGTGATACGAACCACGGCCGTCTGTTTTGGGGTCGCCCGATTACCGACCGAGTTATTATAATTACATTAATACAAGAATTGCTCGTTTAAAGGATAAGAAAGATATATGGTTTAATGTAATGTATTACAGCTGCACCGTAATACAGCGCCGCCTCCCAGAAAGGAAGCATTGACTTTAGTGGGGTTGTTTGGTTATAGCTATAAATATACCTTTGATACCCAGGTCCGGGACTGATGGACGAGTTGGAGGCTTTCATGGCCCCCGTCGGCGAAAGCTGCTACGCACCGCAGCCGCTCGACGCACGCCGAATCGGGTGATTGCACTTCTCATTCTTTTTCTTTCTTAAAATCATTGCCCCTACTTTAGGACAATATTACCCTGTGTTGTAAAGACGCTTTACAAACATAAACTTCACGTGGACAAACGCCCAGATGCGAAACTACTATACACGTATATGTCACACAGATAGTTTTTCCCTGTGGGAATCGAACCCACGACCCCTGACGCCGAAGCCAATACCATGACAATTGCGCCACGAAGTCATCTCAAAAACGATTTTATTTAATCCCTTTTCCATAGTTTTCCATAGTTTAGGAAAGGAACAATCTAGAAGAGCTTTATAGTTTATTTTACTTTAAATATAACTTTATTAATTAAACAAACCGCTGAGTTTCTTACGCCGGTTCTTCCCAGGTCGGTGGCTTTCCTTCCGAACCAGTGGTAGAGGTTTTTGACTATCAATAAGTAAGTGTATGCTTCTATATTGAATAAAGATATTTGACTTTGACAAATACGTTAGCTGAACACAGATAGTTATTTCGCATCTTGGTATTTGTCCAAATTGTTGAAATTTATGTTTGTAAAACGTTCTTACAACACATGATAATGTCATCCTAAGGGGTAAGTAAAGGCAATGTTTATTTCAAAAATAATTTGAAATAGCCCTCCGTCCAGTTCTGTATTTAAACGTGCCCATTCCACCGCAGGGGCCACCAGCTGCCCGAGAGTCCACCAGACTCCGGATCGGAGAATCCCTACAGCCCATCGGAGGCGCAGGCGCCACACACGATTACTGTCTCGCAGACCGCCCTCGGCGGGGACTACATGCTGGTCCACGGCCACATACCGACCCACGAGATCCTCCACCAGAACGGCGACTACATATACGAGGAGCTGAAGTCGGACAGCCTCGACCATGAGGTCCTCAGGGCCAATATGGGCGACGTGGTCGTCCTACCGCAGGACCCGGTCGTTGAGTTGGGAATGAGGACGGTGCGCCACGACCTAGGGCTGGACCCGATATCGTATCAGAACCGCTACAATCAGATGCGCGTGGAAATGCCGGAGCTGGAGCAGGGCATGGTCAACCCGCAGCTGGTGGCGCTCAGCCACGACGGGGCAACCCTGACCCCGGTCTACACTAACCTCCAAGAGCCAGCCGTCAAGAAGAGGAAACACTCGCAGGACATTAAATGTGAGCCAGGTACTTTCTTTTTACCAGATCATTCGATGGTAATCTATTTAAGAAGAGTCAGGTTCTTTATCGGCTCTTAGTTATGATTAGATTTAATTTCGTAAAAATTAGATGATCGTTCTGTTGCCGTATTTCATAGGAACGGGCAGAGCCATCATTTTGATTTTATTCTAATAATATGTTTAGTAGTAGAAATAGCTTGGTGGTTTAACTATTCTAAGGTTCTAACTCAACGAACAAAAGATACGGTTATTCACGTCACATATGTCGTATTCTCATATACGCGAACTCTGTCACCAAAACTAACTACTATTAGGACTTGCCGTTGATCTAGAGTTTAACAAGAAGATAGGTTTCACAGTTCCGGTAAATTTATCGATCCGAAAATTATTAATGCGTTTTCGGATTTAATTGGTATTAAAGTTGTTTCCTTTAGAACGCAAATTTTACTAGCAGATCTCAGAAATTTAAATTGTTTATAGTGCTAATCTTTGCACTTAAGATTGAACATTAAAATATGTAGAAAAAGTGCGAAAATTTTCGCACTTTTTCTACATATTTTAATAGCAGATCTCAGATTTATTTGAATTTTTTTACGAGAGAAGGTGGCAAACGAGGAGGCGGTTGACCTGATGGGGCTGTGGTGTAAGGCAGGCCCCGGAGGGCCGCTCCGAGTGGGCTCATTGAGCCCACTTTGGATGCGTGCTGGAGAGTGCAGGGGAGAGGTCGAGGGTGGTGGAGGAAGAGCCACTCTCCCTGTCTTCTGCTATCGAGGAGGAGTCGCGGGGGAAGAGGGGTGCCGGTGTTGCGTTTAGCCGCTCTCCCTATTCTCCGCGAATCGGTGGGGCTGCACCGCTGATGCAGTGGTGGTGGGGCCCCGGGGGAGAGGAGTGTCGGTATTGCAATGCGCCGTTCTCCCTACCCTCCGCGGTCGAAACGTGGTGAGCGGCGGAGCCACAGACTAGGTCCGCCTCTGGGGGCTGAGAGGCTTGCTCCTTATTAGCACTGGCTCTCCTGACTCCCATGGTCGCGGTCAGCGAACTGGGGGGAGTTGGTTGGCCGTGAAAATGGGGCCGAGTAGGAAGGCGCCTTCTTTTCCTCATACCTGGGGGAAGAAGGGACTTGCTCCCCGGGAGGGGGCTGCTGAGGCGGGCAGCGCTGGCAGGGTCGCGGAAGTGTGCGAAACGTTCCTGTGACCCTGCCGATATGCGCCTAGGTGGAACATCGTGGGGGTTTAAGTCGGTGTGAGCGCGACATAACCTGCTTTTACCCCCAAAATCCGGTTCCGCGCTAAACGATTCCGCGATATCTTTCAAGAACATTAGGTCGTAAAACTTATAAGTTTCTGTCCTTTATACAAAATTGACTCGACTGCCATATCTTTCATCAGCATTAGGCTGTAAGGCATATCAGTTTACCTTAGCGATTTCTTTCAACAGCAATAGATCGTAATGCTTACAAGTTTCTGTCCATCCTGCAGCAGCTCTGTCGCCAGAGAGCGGGAGCCACAATGTGCGTCCAGCGCCCCCCTCAGTGGACGGTTCGGAGGCAGGCGATGATGCTCCGCTGCAGTGCATCAGGTTCGCGCCCTTCCAGCAGGCCTCCTGGCACCCGCTGTACGATTGCAACCTGGAACCTCTGTAAGTAACCACCTCGCCCCGTCGATATTCACCCGCCTCCTTTTCCATAAAAAAAGTATTAAACATAAACACGTCTACATAAATAAGTATAACGTTGTGCGCGTAAAACTAATGGATCTATTTCAATTAACTCTTGGTTTTATTTCTTAGACACTAGGCCTAAATAATATTGTCATATCTTTATTTAACGTAAAATTATTAAGTTTTAAGAAACAAAGATTTTTATACGCAATAAAAGCTATTTGCTAATGTTTTTGTTAAATTGTTGAATTTAATCTGTTTCTTTAAAAATTAATCAAAGAGTTTCCTCACATGAGACTGAGTTTACAAAAGCAGTCACCTACGTAGTATACGTTTCCTTTACTCCAATGGTTGCCTGGAAGAGATCGCTATGAAGCGATAAGGCCGCCAAATTGTACGAGTATGTACATTGCATAATGCATAATTTGTTGTTCTATTGTCACTTTTATGTATACTCTTATTTGTGGTGGACAATAAAAGTTTATTCATTCAGTCATTCACCCTTTAACTTGTTCACAATCAATCTCTGTGTCCTTAATAATTTGTTACGATAAAAATTTTAAACTATGGGCTTGATTGCCGGGGGGTCGAGTAGCCGAACCCACAACCGCGTACGAATGTACCGACCCACCGATAATTGTTCCGGATCTGGAAGTTCCCACGGAAGATAGACGTCAGGCAGAAGGCTGGTCGTGAAATATCTAGCCAATGACATTAACGACGTGATTCACCTGTTTCGCTAAGAACACCCATACCTATTTACATTTCGCTGGAATTCATTGGTCTCCATCGTTGCAGGCCAACCGTCTCGTACGTGGTGGGAGCGGACAAAGGTTTCAACTACTCGCAGATAGACGAGGCCTTCGTGTGCCAGAAGAAGAACCACTTCCAGGTAACATGTCAGATGCAAGTCCAGGGAGATGCGCAGTACGTGAAGACGGCGGAGGGCTTCAAGAAGATAAACAACTTCTACTTGCACTTCTACGGCGTCAAGGTATGGCTATAACACACCTTTCATATAAAAATGTGTATGATAAATAACTGCATCCATTTAACATTGAGTTCAATTCAGGCAGAGGACCCAAGTCAGGAAGTGAGAGTGGAACAAAGTCAGCCGGATAGAACAAAGAAACCCTTTAATCCGGTTCTGTGAGTATTAACTGACTGTTTGATTCAAATTGGCCTATTCTAATGCGTCTAGTGATTATATTCGGGATGATGTTCAAGATTTGAATACAAAAACAGGAGAAACTGTTTACTAATCGTAATTATATTAAAGTACACGATTTCAAATTAGTCACGGTCTATGAATGTTACATTATATACATATTTAAAAGCGCATACATTTATTTAAATTCAACGGTGAACTGTTTTTTAGAATAAATAATAAAAAAATTGTTGCATTTAAATCGCGTTCTAAGTGAGATAGGTAATCCCGTTATCTGTGCACATAATTAACAAACTGCAATTTTGATGTTAACTCATAAGGCAGAAAAAGTATTAACAAAGAAAACTAATTATTCGCAGGAATACTCACCTTCTTTCGCTCTTATATTATGTTCTATTCAATCCAACCACCCCTCCTTATCTTAAGAAGCGATTTGAGTATCTTTGTAATTCTCACCCAGATCGATCTCTCCGCTCCGATGACAATTTAATCCTCAGAAATCCTCCCCATAGTACATCTTTCTACTCCAAATCCTTTTCTGTGGAAGCTGTTCGGCTCTGGAACTCTCTCCCACTACATATTAGGCGGGCACAATCCCTACCTATTTTCAAGCGACTTTTAAGAAAACATTTTATGCCTCCTTAATCTTGTTTTCCATTCCTCGATGTTGTCAACTTATATCTAAATACTTATACATTATTTATAACGTATATATTTATATATCGTGTTTGCATGTGTATTTATGTATAATTTATTAATATGTATTTATATTTTGACTTATAAGTTTCTCTTATTAATTCAGTGTACACCGTTACCCAATGCTATTGTTTTTACTATTTCCTTTGTACTAGGTTGCCTGGAAGAAATCGCTTCTTAGCGATAAGGCCGCCTATTGTACAGTTTTGTATTATTTTAGTTGATTCTTCAATATCCGTTGGTTGTGTACAATAAAGTATATTTCATTCATTCATTCATTCATTCAATTAAGAACAATAACGATTTTATACAAAAACATCATATCTGTCGAATATCGAATTCAAGCCGCCGTTACTTTCCTGTAATCTTACAGGCATAGCATAAAGAAACAAAAAAACTACGAAAATTTTCAGACTCATGTGACCGTACCGTTAAAGTTACGACTTTGTACTTATTCATAAAAGTTCTTGGGCTCCGGTGGACCCCTATTTCGTGAGCCACAGTATATATCTTACGTCATGAAACCTCTTTTTTTTGTGTGAATACGAGCTGGTGGTTCCCCGATGTCAAGTGATAACCGCTGCCTACTTTTGCAACACCCGTATGATTACAGATTATTTAATATTATTTAGTATTGGCGTCAGCGTCGAGGGTCGTGGGTTCGATTCCCAAACGGGACAACTATTTGTGTGACCCACAGATAGTTGTTTCGCATCTGGGTGTCTGTTCGAGTGAAATTTATGTTTGTAAAACGTCCTTACAGCACAGGATAATGTTATCCTAAAATAAAAGATATAAAGTAGGACACGGCTATATCCCCAACCAGAAATAAACGCATAAGTATAACACTTCTACTTCGCTTAGGTGCTTGAGAGTCACGAAAACTGTATCTCACTTTATCTCCACTCGCAGAGTGGAGTTCCGCCGCGACTGCGCCAAGGTGACAGTCGGCCGGCTCCACTTCGCGGAGACCACGAACAACAACATGCGCAAGAAGGGCCGCCCGAACCCGGACCAGCGGCACTTCCAGCTGGTGGTCGCTCTGCGGGCGCACGCCGCCCACCACGAGCTGATGGTCGCGGCGCACGTGAGCGACCGCATCATTGTGCGGGTGAGTGCGTGTAGTGAGCGAGCGCGTGCGAGCGGCGAGCGAGAGTGTGCTAGTGGTGAGCGTGAGCGAGCAGCCATCCAGTGCGCGCGGTGAAGTCTTATTTAGGGGAGCTACTGGAGCAGCGAACGATAGCGTGCGAGCGGCGATCGAGTGCGCGCGGTGAAGTCTTATTTAGGGGTGGTACCGCTCGATCGGATTTTGAATTTACAGTTCATTACCGCCTTTTACTAGAATAACGACTTTAACGTATTATTTCTAAAATAGACAACATTCCTTGATATTGATAAGCTGGCCAGTTTTAACAACAAAGAAAGCGAATGAGTTGGGTTGAGCACGTAGTGACAGTTATCCTGAAAAAGATAAATATCTCTAATTTTACGATCTCATTGAAGAATCGGTTTAGTCCCATTAAGGATAACTTGTAATATGGGTACTTACTATACTTTTAATTAATATGGGTACGTACTATACTTATAATTTTTTTTTTATGTGAAAAGTTGCCAAACGAGCAGACGGTTCACCTGATGGTAAGTGAATACCGCCGCCCATGGACATCTGCTCCACCCGAGGGTTACACATGCGTTGACAACCTTTTGAAGATTGGGCTATATACTTATAAATATAGACGTATTTTGTAAATATATACATATCATAGAAATATAAACACCGAGACTTGTTAAAACTTTATGTTCATCACAAAATTATTTTTTTAACTGGGGTTCGAAGGCAAACCTTCCGGCAAAACAGACGGCTTCACTGTCTGGGATATTTACGTTTTCATTTACATACAACCGAGTGCAGTAAACGTAACCTAATTTATTGCACTCCTCAGGCCTCGAACCCGGGACAGTTCGAGTCCGACTGCTCGGAGAACTGGTGGCAGCGAGGCGTTTCCGACAACAGCGTGCATTACAACGGTCGCGTTGGCATCAACACGGACCGGCCCGACGAGTCGTGCGTCATCAACGGTAAGAACTCATCCACAGTTTCCCTCTGTGTAATGGGGAAAGGGGAAAAGAAGTGGTCACCCTCAGCACCATAGAGCACACCACCATTTACCGTAAATTGTCATGTTCATATAAAATGTATGTATAAATCGATCTGTATGTATGTTCTTACAGAGCAACAAATGCTGGACCAATTTTGGTGAAATTTTGCCTAGCTAGTGATCTACAATGTTTTTTTTATAACTAAAGTCTAGAGCAAATTGGGGGCGGATCTATCTTACAAAAATAACAAGATAGTTGGAGCGGCGATAAGCGCGCCCTCTCTATACATCAATGGTTATATTAAGATACTAGATCTTTCCTTGACCTATGACTTATATTCATAATTTAAAACTAAATACGTCATCCTGTTTTCTTTTTTTTTTTTACTAACTATGAGAATTTCAAAAGTAAATAATCATCACGTGCTCGACGGTCAAGGAAACATCGTGTGAAAACAGGCTGATTTTAATTTGAGAAATTTATAGAATTATTTTACTACAATTTTAAAATTGTTTTACTTTGAGAAACCGTACCCACGAACCCGGACGCCGAAGCCAACGGATTAGCAACAGCGCCAACGAGTCATCTCTCTCATCAGTCACTTCTTCCGCAAACATTAAGCATGATTGTCCCATTTGTTGCGGCAGGCAACTTGAAGGTGATGGGCCACATAGTGCACCCCTCGGACGAACGCGCCAAGCACAACATCGAGGAGTTGGACACTGCGCAGCAGCTGCGGAACGTTCAGAGCATCAGGGTGGTCAAGTGAGTAACAGAAATTAAGTACTAGGAGTTAAGAGCGGCTTAACGTAGTAATGCTTGAGACTACCCCATAAATTCAAATATCTTTAATCGATATATAAGCGTTACACTTACTTATTGATAGCCAAAATACTACACCGGTTAGAGGAAAAGCCACTGATTACTTAAATTATAACACACAAATAATTAATTGATCGCTCCAGGCTCTTTCAAGTGGACATAATACACTGTAAACATGTTTCTTTTTCAAATAATGGTACAAACAATGCGCTCGAACGCTACGCACAGAGTATAATATATGATTCTTATTTTTTTCTATATTCCCGGTCTTGGCAAGCTTAGATTCGGTAATACAAGTGTAACGTTTTTATATTGAAACCATTATAGAGAGATGGTTTTGGTAAGGCCACGCAGCAGACTTGGCTGTTGCACGAATGGGCAGGCCCGTCCATGTAAGTACGCCGACCTCACAAAAGGCCAGCGTAAAGTGAAAGTATGACAAATACTTTCGCGTTTCGTCTGGTGAGTGAGGTGGCCGGAGCCCAATTTCCAAAAGGTTGTCAACGCATCTGTAACCCTTGGGCCTGACAGATGTCCATGGGCGGCGGTATTCACTTAACATCGGGCGAACCGTCTGCTCGTTTGAAAAATTTTCACATAAAAAAAAAAAAAAAAAAAAAAACCAAAGTTTTTCGAATTTGTAATTCGAATTCGAGAGTCCACCGTCCAGGTTCAACTACGACCCGTCGTTCGCCGAGCACTCGGGGCTGCTGGGCCACGACCCGCGCGGCTGCGCGCCGCACGCGGACACGGGCGTCATAGCGCAGGAGGTGCGCCGCGTGCTGCCCGAGGCGGTCAAGGAGGCGGGCGACGTCACGCTGCCCAACGGCGACACCATACAGAAGTTCCTCGTCGTGAACAAGGTGACGCAGCCCTCGTCCGCCCGACTGCGCGAGGAGCGCAATGCTCTAGAATACGTGCCTGCCTTTGGCGCGCGCTGCGGTCTAAGTGTTTCCTCGTCGTGGACAAGGTGACGCAGCTCTCGTTTACCCGACTGCGCAAGGAGGGTAATGTTCTCGCATACGTGTCTGTCTTTGGCACGGTGACGTTAAAAGTAGTATTAGCTGATGCTTGTGCTTCCAGTGCCGAGACTATTAACGCTTTATCTGACGCAGAACTGGTGGGCTAGCCAGAACCCACGGGTTTGGGTCGATAAAAGTCTTCCCTTCAGTTAAAGCTTTCTAACGATCACTTATATAAAACTTAGCGCGACCCCGAGCGGATTGGCAGACTTCGCATATTTTCCAAATATTTTATTATTTAAACAGATTTCACGTGTTGTGTCGACCCCATAAATATAATTGCGGAAGGATGACGGTGAATTGAATAAGAATGTTAACCTTCACAACAGGATCGTATATTCATGGAGAACCTGGGTGCTGTGAAGGAGCTGTGCAAAGTGACCGGACATCTGGAGTCGCGTATCGAGCAGCTGGAGAGGGTCAGCAAACGCCTGCATCGTCGAGATAGCGCCCGTTCGAACCTCAGCAGCGGTACGTAACTAATATACGCAATATGCATAATTTTGTCTGTCTGTCAATTAACACTATAATTATGTTACTGAGTTATGAGTACTGGTAATATTTGGGTTCCATTTGGCTAAGATTTTTTTATGTGAGTGGGTGGCATGCTAGCTCGTGGTTCACCTGATGTTAAGTTATAACCGCCGCCCATGGACATTTTCAACACCCGTAGAGTTGCACAAGCTTTGCCACCTTTTGATAAAGTCGGCCCCGGCTACCTTACTCACCAGACGAAATTTAGAAGTATGACACTTCCACTTCACACCGGTCTTCTGTGAGGTCGTGGTACTTCCCAGACTGGGCCGCCTTGCTTCCACATTTAAAGGCAGTGTACATATACAGTTTGTTAAAAAAGAACTGAATTGTGTATAAGTATACAAAACTATCGGATTTTGTAATTGCAAATATGTACTTATTCTTCCAATGTAAGTAAGATCATCACCCATTACCCATGCAGATTCTCGCTTTTCCGGATTGTCCGCATCTTCGAAATCGTTCTACAGCGACGGCAACATTTCCATAGAGCAAATACGGGACATAGCGAGGAACATCCGCCGCCACGAGTGCTGCCACAAACTGAGCCACAACTCCCCCAAGTACACTAGGAAACAGTGCAAAAACTGCCACGGGAACTTCACTAAATACGGAAAGTACTACAACTACAACAAAACCTGCGTCCGATACCACTCGAACAAGATCGAGAAAGTCGAGAGTGCCGAGAACTTCCCAACATACGTGAGCACTCTAGACTCCCCCGTCCAGAAGTTGCCAGATGAAAATTACAGCGTTACTTCGAAACAGAAGGATTCGTGTCTATGGCTTAGAGACGAGGATAGCCTGACTTATGGCAACAACAAACTGGCGTTTTGTTGCCGAAGAAAGGACAGATTCGGCGACGCGAGCAGTGAACTAATTTCTAATAAGTTCCTGCAGATTGTCATTACTATTCTAATATTCATAATGGCAATATGGTAAGTTGAAATAAATAATGTAATTTTTGATATCGATTAACTACAGAAATCTACGAACTCAATATCTTTTAATTTTTAAAATAATTCATATCTCTCATATAGTATATTGCGGACAAAGTATGTGAATATGTATTAGCCAACTACCTTTATTTGTATACAGCGTGTCTTTACACCGCGACATTAATCGCGACAATAAATGAACACACATATAGAGGATAACTTTTTAAAATTGTATTAAACATTTACATTCTTTAAGCATCAATGTTTACCGAGTTATTAAATTTAACTGTAACGTAAAGTTCATTTGTAAAGGTCACAACGCATATGAATGGGTTGAATGAATTTAAAAGAGATAAAACATACTGTGAGAAGGAGAGCTAAAGGAGAGACTTGTAATGCGACGCTGTGGCAACGAATGAACAAGTCTCTGAATGTATGAATCAGTCAGTTGTAGTTGTATAGGCTGTTACAAATTTTGTTCTAATTAATTTGTTTGAAAAATATATATTTTTTTATTATGGATTTTTTTAACGTTAATATTTTTTTATGATATTGGCAAGTAGCGTTAGACGTGTGTTCATTTATTGTCGCGATGGTAACGACACGCTGTATAACTAGTTATTTGCTTTCTGAGACAAAAAGTAATGGTAAATATTTTAAATCTGTTTAAACATTGCTTTACAGCCTCGTCGTCATGACAGCGTTATACTTTAGAGAACACCAGGAACTCCTGTCGATGAAAGAGATACGAATGCACGAGAAATTCTCAAACTACCCTCACTACGGCAAGTTCAACGTCAACGGCGGACCGGCGCACAGGGCGACGCCCCCCGACCAGAACCAAATACAGGTATATTGAAATATATGAGATAAAAATGATTACATTACGGTTAACTTAAGCAAACGATTGCTATAGTCTTAACAATAATTATAGTTCGGCATAATGTTTTTTCATTGAAACTTTCTCGAACAAAATGACAAGTCATTTAGCAGCTCATCCAAGGAAACCATCATGGTAATATGAATACTGGGTGATTTTTAGACGAAGTGCATACTTTGACACAATTTTAATTGAGCATTGCACAAATCACAAAAAATATAAATTTTAAAGAATTAACCAGAAAAATATAAATTCAAACATTCTTCCTTTATTCCGTTAAGAGTTGTCACCATCTATAATCTGTATTTATGTATACTATTGCAACTTCTTCGTCGATGATAAAAAATACTTTCGGTAAAATCACTTTTTATATTAGAAAATTAATTCAAATCAGAATAAATATAATAAAAATCAGAATTCGAAAGAACAATGTATATTATGTATATTATTTACGTTGCATTCATTAACCTTCTAACCACGCTTGCAGAATTTGAAACCGTCACAGCACGTGGCCGCGAAGAAAACCGCGAAAGGTGAGAATTTTAAATTCGAATCGGTGTTTTTTTTTTTCTTATTTAATCTATGCTCTTTTTTGACTGACGATTTATGTTTAATATATGATTTTAACCGACGCGTCCGACAGAGAAAGGGACGCACAAAACCACGCAGGAGTACACTACATCTACGCCGGCTGAAACTTCACATCCCACGACCACACTAGTCCACGCGTCCAGAAACTTCCTCAGGAACGTACTGAGTGAGTATTTTTTGTATTAATATTTATTTTTAGTGCTAATCTCTGCACTTAAGATGAACTCTGATGCAGCAAGCCATCTTGGTACCATGCCGCGTGGACTAGACTTTGTTAGATAATATGTAATTTTAGACAGGTTTAATGTTGTAAATGTTTTATATAAGTAATAAAATTAAAATGTGAATTTTATCTATTGTACATATTGTAAATTATTCACACTGGATGGCTTAAATATTGCTAAAAATGCAATAAAGAACGTATATCACTGGGCGCGCAAAAATTAAATGCCACCTCTGTAGTTAGTCGGTTCGACGTTTCGGTAGGTTGAAATTTAAATCGGTGTCTCTTAAGAGAGAGGGTTTTAAGAGCTAGTAAATCTTTTATTCTAATGCAGTTCAACATCGGTTGTAGACATAAAACAGTTTCTTCATTGCAGGTACATTAAATGCAGGTGTTAAACAATTTTATTTTCTTGTAATTCAGAATTTATCAATACTTTTAGACAATTTATCTCTTAATCTCACATTTATTCTAACGGGTCAACAATTAGCAACTGCACCCTGATATCCAATTGCACCCAATGTGAAAAAGTTTTCTTATTGAAGACATTTTTAAAGCTATTGCTTGTTTATTGATTTGATGAAGCAATGTTTTGTACCTTTGTGTCACAAATGTTTTTGATCGATGTTCGAATGGGATTATATAAACGTAAAGCCTTGCTTCAACTGCTTCGTCAGTTAATCGTACTATTTTCCAGATATGGGTCAAACGCCCCAACCGCTGCGAATGGAGAGGCTAGTATCAATGTCCCGGATAGCTGACGTGGTCGGCGGCGGGTGCACCTTCACCGTCAATACAGACAACGAGCTCGACGCCGAATGCCAGGTGAATATGACAGGCTTAGCACTGGACAAGCTTAAACTATAAAGTGTATTATGAATAAAATTATTAAAACTTTCGTGAGACATTATTAACGTAATAATAAGACTGCTGAACTAATCTCACCCACCCTGATTAAGGACCACCAATGGGTTTGAAACTAGTCAGTACATACATTTCTTTACGTGCGCTCAGCCGTCTTATTATTACGTGTATGCTCAAATATTTCGTGTATGACAAAGGATAATAAATTATCCTAAAGTGAGGGCAATGTTTTACAAAAAGAAAAAGTGTAGGACGGTCATCCTTAAGTATGTTATGGAGGTCGTAGGGAGTCCCCACCACAACTTCCTGTACAATGCGTGGATTAATATAGGCTGAAATGATGATCGTGTTGATACTCATCCTTTTATCGTTTACAAATCGCTCTTCATAGATTACGATAATTAGTAATTGGATTTATGGGAAATGTATTATGTGTTTTTTCCTAACGCTGCTTTAAAAGGGATACGAGGGAATATCAAGATGGATCACGTCTGTGTCGGTGAGTGTGTTTGGGTGTATGTTTTTGTTATTTCGATAAATATTCCACAAGAATTTGAAAATTCGGACAAGTTTCACGTTTGAGATATTTAATTAAACACATAATCGTTTACATTGGTTTCCCAGAGCAAAGTTAATATCTGACATATATCAAGACTTAATATCTGAGACATTCCATGTTTTTCCAGTGTCTGGGTGTTGCTATATGTATAATATGTATTTATTTACAAAAGAAAAGTATGTTTATCAGTTTTCTAGTACCCATAGTGTACATGCGTTGCTTAGTTTGAGACTAGAGAACGTTGTGTAAAAAATTATTTATTTACGCCAGTCCTTGATTTTGGCATGCGAGATGAGTTAAGTAATGAGAGGTCCCTTTGCAGTCTTGCGGGCTGGAGGCCCCGCAAACGTACGAGAACCAGGAGCCCTTAGAGCGGCCAAACGAAAAGGACCTGAACGACACCTTCGCGCGCGCTTTGGACCCCACCCTGAAAGAGATCCTCAGCATCCCCGTAGTACTCGAGAAGAACAACTCAGACACGCTGAAGAGTGAGAACGACTCCCTCAGGGGCCACGTAGACGCGCACGACGAGATCTTGGCCGAGTCCAATTTGCTGGACCCCAATAAGCAGAACGGAACAGAAGCGAGGATGAAGAGGGAGCTGGGGGGACGGAGAGAGGAGAGGATCAAACGCGAGGTGCGCGAAACGAAGGAGGCATTACTGAGGAGCAGCTCGGAAGAGATGACGTTGACGGAACAGTCTGATGAGGCGCCTCTGTCTCAGGGTAAGTAATAGACTACGAAGAAATTACTGCTTTAAATTTGAAACGGCTTGAAGGCGTCCTTGCACGTGGTCTTTCTTAATCTTTGTATTACGCATATCGTTTTCATACTTCTCCAATACGGTCGGTACCGTTTTTCATAATGTTTCAATTATACACCGGCCGCGCGCTTACTTGGAAACTAGAAATTCCAATCGCCAACATCATGTGCCTCAATATTATTTTAAAATAACCCTATACTTGCATACAATAAAATAACGAAGCTGGCCACAGTACATTGAAATATTAAGGCATTTTAATATGTTAAGATTATTCACTCGAACCTACCAACTTAAAAATTTCTATTAACAGTATGGGTGTTCTTTTTTTTTCCAAATAGAAAAAGAAAATAGTTCAAATTATTGATTAATAGTTGAGAAATGAAACGGCGATTCAAGAGAAAATTATGAGGGAAAAAACTAGAAAAATAAACAATCTTGGGAACTGTCGTCAAAAGTGAGAACTATACGTGCCATCGTGCCTATAGTAGTTTTCACTTCTATAGATCAATAATTCAATAGAACATCGTGCCCCTATCCGCAGAATGCGAGAAAAATTGCCTAAAGTGTTTATAGTACTTTTCACTTCATAAAATACTGTGTTCTTATCCATAAAGTACGAGATCAATTGCCCAATACAGTAGTTTCCACTTCAATAGAACATCGTGTCCCTGTCCGCTGAATGGGAGAGCAATTGCCCAATGTGTCTATAGTAATTTTCCCTTCATAAAACAACGTGTCCTCATCTAGAAAATACGAGATCAATTGCCCAACGTTCCTATATTAGTTTCCACTTCAAGAGAACATCGTATATCTATCCGCAGAATACGAGAGCAATTGCCCAATGTGTCTATAGTACTTTTCACTTCATAAAATACTGTGTTATTATCCATAAAGTACGAGAGCAATTGCCCAAAGTGTCTGTAGTACTTTTTACTTCATAAAATACTGTGCCCAACGTGCCTACAGTAGTTTCAACTTCAATAGAACCCTATCTGCCTATCCGCAGAGTGCGAGAGCGTCAGTGTGGGCGTGTCCAGCAACACGGTGGCGAACGCCTCGCTGTTCACCGAGACGGTGTGCGCTCGCGGCCTCCACAACTACACTTACGGCGTGCCCCTGTCTCACTGCCTCCACCACAAACACGTCGCCATCACCTTCAGGTGCTCAACACTTTTCAGTCTACGACCCGATTGGCGTAATGAGTGGTGCCCGCTATTGGAGAAATATTGTGTGATGCACATGGTGCTTTTCCAATGTCTGTATATGTAACGGTGGTTACGAATGGGCAGGCTCGTCCGGGTAACCACGACCTCACAGAAGACCGGCGTAAAGTGGAAGTATGACAAATACTTTCTAGTTTCGTCTGGTGAGTGAGGTAGCCGGAGCCAATTTACAAAAAGGTTGTCAACGCCTTGGGTGTAGCAGATGTCTATGGGCGGCGGTATTCACTTAATATCAGGTGAACCGTCTGCTCGTTTGGCAACTTTTCACATAAAAAAGGTATAAACAAAATGACTAAAAGCAACAAAAACTTTTTCTTTTTATCATTGAACTGGGCTTAATGGCTAGGCTAGTGATTACGCACTGATCAACGGGTCCTTCAAATGCATTATCAATAACACCTAGGGGATTTTAGTCAGTATAAGTCTTAGACGACCCATTTAAAGATTAACCGGAGGTGTTGGGGGTTAATATTCCTTATACCACTGTATAATAGTTAGCACCATTTTTACACGAAGAGGGGTAAACTTTTCCAATTTTTGTATTAAAGTGTGTTATGTTGTAATTCCATAATGAAGAACGTCAATACTGAAGGAGGTACGTCTCTGCGATCTTCGCTGCAAATACGACACCATCAAGAACTGTCAATTGAACAGGGACATCGCTAAGCCGTTGCCCAGCGGCAACACGTGGACCGCCAAAATGACCCTTGACTGCAAAATGGACCGGCATATGAAAATACGAGCTGGCTTTGAGCCTCTAAAGGTGACTTTCCTCTGACTGCATGTATGCTACAGGTTATACCATTACCCGCACGAGAATTTAATTGTTTTTTTTTTTTTTCAATATTAAATCAGACCTACCAGAGTTGTAATATTTCAGCCAAGTATTGTAATAATCAGTACTATTGATATTGTGCCATGTGGCCACATCATATCCCACTACATGGGGGCTAAATCAGATTAACCAAAGAGGTAACAAGGACCTTTATGTTTAACCTTTCTTAATAATCAATATAATAAAATAATCTTACTATAAACTAAAACTGAAACATTTTCATTATTATTATGATAATCTTACTATAAATTATATTAAAGTGTAACTAAAACTGATTTTCATGTAAGACTCCTAAAAGATGTAATGTTTAGGCCCTTCTAAAACTCACAACTTCGACTAGAAAATGCTTACTTGGGTTACTCAGTTAAAAATGATGATAGCTAGATTTTCAGACATTCGAAGTCGGTAATGGCAATGGTAAATTAATGCATTTTTTTGTATCGAAATCAATTTCATTTGTTTCTTAACAGTTATAATTCACATTTCCACAGGATGTCTGCTATTTGAGTTCGGAGCAAAAGATACCATTCGTCGAGTACAACATACACGTCTATCGAGATTGCCGTAATTGATAATTTAACATTATCTCATTTTCAATGTATCTTTAAGAAGAAAATTGTTTTTAGAATATCTCAGAAGTAATTGTATGCATACGGTAAAAATATATTATATCTATAAACTAATAACTATAATTATCTTTTTTTATTTTGTTTTAAAAATACAACCTTTCATTGACTTTTACTTCTAGTCATGTAACTCCTATACCTTTCATTTGAATTCGCAAAGTATTTATATGAAAAGCATGTGTCATAATATTTTACCGTATGCATAGGACATTCGTATATTAATAAACGGTAGTTATAAATTTAATAGTTTAATGTAAAACGATCATTCCAAAAGTGCAATTTACATCTATATTACGTCCGTCCTAATTTATACGTATGGGATACCAGTAATTGAGATATAGATCCTTATATTTATTATACCGATATTTCGGTACCGATTTAGATTTCTGTCCATTCCTATATTAGCTTTAAAGTGACTCGAATAAAGTCTCCATTAAACGATAGTTTCTTATATAGATAAATAGATGTTTAAGTCAACAAAATCTAGCGGAAGCATAAACTGGTTATTTGCCTCTAGGATCTTAGCCCTTTTAATTATACTTTTTAAAAACATTCAGTCTTTTATTTAAGTAGGTTAAAACGTACATATATCCACACATCACTTCGATTCGATAGAGTATGTAGATGTATAAAATATATAACTATATACCTGTCGAAATTAGGTAGAGTAATGGTCAAGTTCTGAACAGTTTTTTGAGTAAAAAATGTTTCAGCTTGCTTAAATAAATGACCGGTATAATTAATATCATTGAAACTTCGTTTTATCGGGGTTTGAATGTAAAAACGGAGAATTCATTTTTTTTTTTTTTTTTTTAGTTTCGTTACTTGTATATTTTAACTTTTTTTTAGTCTTTACACATCTAGTGATGTGTTAATATAGCAATAATTTATTTGATACTTGACCCATGAAACACAAAAGTATTGCCATTTTACGGATATTGTGGTGAGTAATTATTCAATTTAATATTTTTAACAGTAGCTAAGGTCCAATATTTAAGGATTCCTTAAATATTGGACCTTAGCTACTATACTAGAGTTTGGATGTGGCGTTGTGGGAATCCCAGTGGCCTTTGTTTAAGAAAAATATAACTTCGCCTTATAAATTAGAAATTAGAGCGCTATGATGACTCTAAATGTAAAATAATATTTGCTTGAGATGTCATTTATATTAATTACATAATATACAAAGCTTGAGTCGAGCGCCTTCATTAAATATTTTATTTAGTTAAGATTTTAGTTACGATTCAGAATTTTACAATTGTTGGTGCATATAAGGTTAGCGTTTAAATACAAAGGAATTGATGTAGTTTATTTGTCATTCCTTAATTTTATTGTGGTGGTAGCTATATTTCATTATTTAGACACGCTATTCTTGTTGATTTGCAATGCTATTTGAACAGCTGTGCTTGTCGTTCCGATTTTATCAATTTTTAATGTATTCCTCAACTGTATATTTTTATTTTAGCCTAATAGTATAATTTTTGTTTCGTAAAATAAAATACTCAGTATATTTTATATTTGAATTTTTAATCCTAGTGACGTTATAATTTTATAGTAATTTATGCCTCGAAAACATTGTTCTATATTTCAAAATGCTATGAATTGAATCCCAGTATATCATTTATCAACTGTTTTATAATTAGTTATGCAAATGTGTTAACACCATTACACGCTAGTACTTAATTAGTTTAAGATATTTGAATGAATTGAATTTATCCCTTTATTTATCTATATTACTTTATAATTTATCATAATTTTTGATATTTTTTAATGAAATGAAAACATTTATTACAAAATATTTTTTGAGAATCAATATCAAAATACTACTATTATAATAATAAATTAGAATCTTTAAGTGCTTTCTGTTATTATAATGGTAGATTTAAACTTAGTTAATACTGTCTTGCCATATTTAGTAATCTCATTTTACATCACATAATTACATATTAGTAAAAGTGTACATGTTTTTGTTTATTTTTATAAAATTAATAAAATCCGCAATTATTAAAATGATGTATTCTGCATCATAATTACATTTGACGTAACCAACAGGTGTTTTGGATAAATAGTGCTTAGATAACCTAGAGATAGATTTGTTTATTTCCAATTTCTTGTTCAATCGATTATCTGTTGTAAAATTAACAACACTTAAAATATAATGTTCCCAATAATATTCCCTTGTCGACAGCATTGATGGAACCAAATTTGAAGTTTTCACTCCGTGCAAAAGTCTTTCCAAAAAGAAAAAACTACATGCAATTACTACTAAGACAATTTACCGGATCTTAATTTATTTAATAGAGAAAATTGATAAACTTACAAAGAATTTATTTTTGAATAGTTTATTACTTTTTAATTCGATTGATTGATGAATGATTCTTCCCTTTAACATACACACCTACTATCTTAAGCTTGCTGATTTCTTTTCTTGAAATGTTAAATGTGTGTTAATGTTAATACCAAAAACTACATGCAATTGTGAATATTACAATATTTATAATTGATTATTATAGTATTTACAATAATCATAATTTATGTGGTTTATGTTGGTTAAATTATTTTTATTGATCAATTCAATTTTAAATTAGTTCTTTTCATATTATTTATGTTTTTTTGTAACGTCACGTGTTTCCATGGTTTCCTTTCCAATCTGCTATATTAAGCTCTTATCATTATATGAATATTATATGCAGTATTTAATTTAGTGTAATAAAGAAAATAATAATTTGTCAACTTAAATGTAATAGATAGCAGTAAGCTGTAATCTCATAGAAATAGGTTAACAACAATACGCAAATTTTCAATCTTGTAACTATTATGACTGTAATAAAATGTAGAGATTTACGCACTTTGTTTCATTTCACTATTCAACATACCAAATCGTCATTAAATGAATATCCCCTTAACACCACTCGAAATTACCTTGCACCGCTTGCAATGCCGATGATTTTATTTTGTCACCATCTGAAGTTTCTTGAGATGTGTTTGGGGAATACGCGAAAAAATATATAAGGCTAGGAAGTAATTGGTAGTCTTATGCAGGCCCTGTCTTCCAGCAAGATTTTTTGTTCGAATAGAGAAGGGCAGTGTCGTCCGCGGAGTCGACTTGTGGATCTTTAGGGATGTCGCTCGGGCAGAGCGAAAAGAGAAAGGGAGAAAGGCAGGCCTTGGGGAACGCCTGGTGTGAGAGGGTGGCTTGTAGAGAAATTGGCATCTACCCGGAATTGAAGAGCGATTAAAAAGGCCCGAAAGCTACGCACGACAGCATACAGCTTGTAAAGCCAGACCTTATCGAATGCCTTTGCGAGATCGAAGATGAGTGATACTTATATTAAGTTGTTAACAGTCACGGAATAGAGAAAACACGTAGAAATTGCATATGGGCGTAACCCAACAAACTGCAGCTAAGCGAAAGTGTCAAGTGTAAATGAAGTTATTACTTGAAATAATAACAAAAAAAAATATTTCGAAGATATCAAACGTACGCAGTGGGGTCGTGTGGTTTATTATGCCATAATACAGAGAAGGCATTTGCCTAATAATTACAGGCTATTACTTACTTTACCAGAAAAAACAGGTAATGTATAATTAATGCCCGCCGTCCAACAAGAAACTCGCTAATGTTACAAAAAAAATTATGGTATTCATTTATTTTTTTGAATACATTTAAAAGCGAATTCAAAAAAGGAGGAGGTTCTCATTTTTTTTCTTTCATTCTTTTTTTTTATTTTTGTACCTCAGAACTTGGTCATTATGACCCGATTTTGGAAATTTATTCATTATTTTCATTGGTGTTGGACCTTAGACTCCGGAGATAAAATCAAATAGACTATCGTTTTTATTTTGTGTTGTGTTAATAAAAATGTATTTATATAAAAAATCAAATTGTAATGATAAGTAAAAAGCCTGTATTTTTCTTACAAAAAAAATACATGAACAATAAAATCTTAAAAATCCTTTTTTTAATAATCAGATTAATAATAGTAATCTTATCCTTTAATAATAATAATAGTAATCGGAAACGGCTCCAGCGATTTTCATGAAATTTAGTATGTGCGTAGATTCGGGGGCGAAAAATCGATCTAGCTAGGTTTTATTTTTAGAAAATGTCCTTTTATCCCTGTTTTCAGGGAATGAAAAATATCATTCGAATATGACGGTAAATTTCGCTGCAAAAAAAATGTTATAATAGCTCGGTTGGTAATCGGGCGGCTCCAAAACAGACGGCCGCGGTCCGTATCACGATTTACACACTTATTTTTCTTTTACTTTTTTTTCTATACCAGATAATTTTTTTATTTCCAAAATACATGATTTACCAACCAAAAAAAAACCGAGCAAAGCTCGGTCCTCCAGGTACTATATTTTAAAAGAGCTTCGGTGTTCACGTAAGTGTGGCTACTTGCTATTAATAGTTTGCCATATTTGACAAAATACTTGTAGTTTGAACTTGAAAAATACAAAGGATACAGAAAAATATCATTTTAGTATCATCCTGCTTATTGATGACTCGATACCACAGTTGCTCAGTTGCAAAGTTATTGGCTTCGGTGCCGGGGATCGTGGGTTCGATTCCCACGCCAGATTTTTGTGAACAACAGATAATAGTTTCGGACCTGGGTTATTTCCAAAGAGGATGACGTCATTTAGGTGGCCTGTGGTAAAAGAACTTATGTATGGTACCATTAACAACATGATTCACATGTGCCGACTCCACCGAAGTGGGATAAGGGCGGTGAATGAAGTGTCGAAACTATGTACTATTCCATTTTTTCATTATTGTTTCGGCGAAAAATCAAAAAATGGGCCTTAGAAGGCTTACGGGTTACTTATAATTTGTATTTGTCACTAAGGGGAAATATACACTGTCCGAAATGATGATTGTTTATCAAATATGCGAATATTTCGTTTGAAGCAGCTACACGCAGTCATTAAATGCTGCT